CTGAATTTTTTGCAGATTCAAAGGCTAGTTTTTCTTCATCTCCCCATCGCCATTTTACATCTTTCCTCAAAAGGTTGTTCAATGGATACAACACAGATGAGAGATTTTGAATGAACCGCCCATAGTAATTTATCATGCCTAGAAAAGCCTTGAGTTCCGAAACATTGCTGGGAGTAGACACGTTCAAAAGAGCCTCAATGTTTTTCTTATTTGGATGGATTCCATCACCATCCAATACGTGTCCCAAATATTCTACTGATGGTTTGAGAAATGAGCATTTCGCGATACGCACACGAACGTTGTGTTTATTCAACCGTTGCAAAACCTGCTCTAACTTACCATAGTGTTCCTCCTCCGTCTCGGAATATACTAGAATGTCATCTATGTAACAACAAACATCCAGATCTCGCAAGATTTCATCCATTACGGATTGGAAAATTTGAGGTGCGGTTTTGATACCGTATGGCATGCGTTCATATCGAATCAGACCAATCATAGTATTGACCGTAAGTAGTTCCTTCGATTTTTCACTAAGCCTTAGCTGTTGAAACGCATCCGCCAAATCAATTTTAGAATAGTAACGTGCGTTACTTACCTGTGAAAACAATCGTTCTAAAGTCGGAAGTGGGTACGGGTCCGGTTCTAAAACTGTATTGACCGTTACCTTGTAATCCCCACAGAGTCTAAGACCCCCGTTTTCTTTTATGACTGTTACTTGTGGACTTGCCCATGAACTTTTTTCAACTTTCTTAAAGATTCCTGACTCCACCCCTTTCTCTAATTGAGCTTTAACTTTGTCTTGAATAGGGTATGGAACTGGATATGCTTTTTTGAAAATTGGAGTTGAGTTTTCTGGAATTTGAACTTCAGCTTGAAAGCCTTGAATGTCACCCCTTTCCTCAGAGAAAACATTGTGATATTTCGTCAGTAGGTTGTCAAGTCTAGTATTGTCTTGCACTGCAAAAATTTGCCCCCAGTCTAATTTGATCTGAGAAAGCCAATTTCTTCCAAGTAATGCAGGCTTATTACCCTGAGCAACTATCAAAGGCAGTGTCTTGGTAACATTGTTGTAAGTTACAGGGACTTGAATTTCACCCAAGAGATCCAACAAGTTACCACAATAGGATTTTAGCTTGACTTTTGGAGGTTTCAATGGAATGTGGGCTAATTTGGACCTATACAATGATTCACCAATGACAGAAACTGATGCAGCTGTGTCTAGCTCAAAATTACATGGTTTATCATCTACAAACATTGAGACATTGTACTGAGTTACCTGATCCTTTAATGCATGTACGCCATGATTGTTGACATTGTCAGGATTCATCGTTCCCAGTCTATATATGCAGTATGTCGGGAGACCATCATCTGACCCATCGTCCTCTTCGAGAAGATTCTGTCGATGAACTTTTCTACGGAATTTTGGCTTAGGTTTCCCTTTCCTAGCCTCACGCCATTTTCTAACGTCATCACAGCGGGATTTCAGATGTCCAAGTTCACTGCACTTATGACAAGTAGTTGAACGGTAACGGCATATATTTGCCTTATGGTCGCCGCCACATCTCCAGCAAGTTAGTTTATGAATCTGGTTCACGGATGCATTTGTTGATGTTTCAGTGTCAATTTCTTTGCAGGAAGCAGTTGCACTTTCCTCTGCTTGTGCTATAGATATAGCTTTAGCAAATGTAAGTTCCGATTCTTGGATTAGTCGATTCTGTGCTTTTGGAATATTTAGTCCAACAACAAATTGCATACACAATGCATCCTCTAAAAATGTCCCAAATTTGCAGGTTGAAGATAATTTTTTCAAATCTATGACAAAGTTTGATATCTTTTCATTGGGTTGTCGAGTCCTTTTCCCAAATTTGTATCTTTCAAAGATTAGCAGAGGTTCTGGTTTGAAGTGTAACTTTAATTTTGTGCTAATATCATCAAAAGTTTCATCAGAAACTTTGTTTGGCAGACATAAGTTTTTCAATGTGTCATACGTTTTTGCACCACAAGCTGCTAGGAAAACACACTTACGTTTATCTTGTTCAATGTCATTTGCTATGAAATATTGTTCAATCCTTTCTATGTAATTTTCGAATGGCTCCAACTCACTGTTGAATTCACCAATTTTTCCTATAGGCATTTTGAAAATTGTTTTTTCCAGAATTTTTGAAGTCTCAATTAAAGTTCAAATTTTTCCACTTTACAGTCTATTTATACTTTATATCACACATTGCGTTGTTGTTATACTGTTCTTACTTGTTTTGCCACCATCCTCGTCGCCATTGTTAAGTTTGGAGGCCTAATATATACAAGTTTTGTCAATAACAAACACAGACATCATTTCAGTCTAAATCAATGGTGGTATATATATTTTGCCTTATATGGCACACATGTGCTTTTTCCCAAGATTCAATTTATGAGCGACATCTATGAATTAATAATATCTTATAATTGAACATACATTACAGGGGTATTCTTGGTTTGTTTATGCAGCCTGATTGGACTTTTCAATAAATTTTCTTGATCTTGAACCTATCTAGACATTTGTGGTTTCATATTTAACAATCCGTAACTCTGTGGTTTAATCGTGTAATGTTAGGAAAAGGTTCATGATATGCTATAACAATCAATTTGGCATACCTAACAATGTCTAATATTGTACCATACAATGCTGCAACTTTAATCTGATCAAATCATCTTAAAACCCGTCTTATTAAGTGTTGCCGCTTTTTGAAATCCAATTGAAGAAATCCATTTCATTTGTTAGATTATGGAGATCAATTTCTGATGCGGATTATATAATAATTATACATGGCCATGAATTTAACCCAAATGAACTAGTAAAAGTTCTCCATGTATATTTCAAGTTACCGCATTGCTAGCTTTTAAAAGCTATTTCTGGGATATAAAAATTAGACATACCATAAAATCCGTATTAAGGGCCCACCCCTAATAAGCGCCTACCCTGCTTCACAGAGTTCAAGAAATATTGAGGAATGACCAAGTATTAACCAATATATTAGAAAAAGTCAAATTTGCGAAGAAATATAGTGGGTGATAATAGAGTACTTACACTAAAATGCAGAAAACATGATGCATTTTGTAAATCGATGCATCCTCCCGATGAATATCTATCAGTGGGTGCTTCCCACATCATACTAAGCTAATATTATTTAAAATAGTCCATTATGAATGAAGGAAATGATCACGTTTCAGAGATTTGTTTCGACATTTTACTAACTTAGCGATCGCCAAGGTCGTGAACTTTCTCGTTTCTTAACGACTTCCTCGACTTATACACGAAAAATGATGATCTGTCATCAAATTAAAAAACAAGGTATAACTTTAGATCGATATCTACCAGTGTATAGTGGAAATATTGAAGATAATCGCGAAAACAATTCCTTCACCTCGAGGGGCTCTGCTGTGGAGTTCTTCAGTCACTGTCAATATAGTTAGATTCTTGCTTTATTTTAGCGATCTTTACCATATTCTCTCCAATAACGATACATATCATTATTGTAAAAATTTGCTGTCACTTTCGTTGCAAATAAGGCATTTTTGGCAAGACAAATTCCTGGGCGAGACAATTTTTTATGGGCGCTCTTTGTAATGGGTTACAATGGGAATTTCAATTTCAAAAGCGCCCTGGGCGCTCATTACGGCGAAAACGGTATATAATGATGTTCATACTGATGTTAAAAGGTGTTATTAGAGATATAATATGGATGCACAAGTGCCAAAGAGAAATATTATGTTTTATATTATATATTTATTATTGGGGATGTAATAATGAATACAAACATACCAAATTTCATGTCTCAAGAACAAAACTTGTTAAGATGTATTCAAAGAACAGATTGTACTGAACATGTTATATACAGGGTGTTCACTAAGTAATGACACTAGGTCTTCCATTTTAACAGGTTTTAACCAATCTTTCTGGATATTGCACATATTACAGGGTTACCAGAAAAAAGTGGACCATTTCCACCTAAATCCCTAAATTACAAAATCACCTAAATTCAAATCTTATTGTTTATTGGGGTCCAGCTCCCCCAGGGGGCCATTAACAGAAGCTTCATAAAGTTAAGAATTCGTAAAACCCATTGTTCTCTAACTGTGACGCCTTTATATCCATGGTTACAACAATTGATTTACGAATTCGTGACTTTACTAAATTTCTGTTAATGACCCCCAGATCCAGTGCTTCAAAGGCCATTGCAATCTATAAAATATACAGCTTGGGTTGTTCTCATAAGGCTTGGCATAATTGGGCCTTATTTCTTTGGAGACGACACGGGAAAAGCTGTTGCGATGAACACTGAATGATATTCAGCAGTGATCTAAAAATTCTGGGCAGCCTTTTGACAGATAAGGGAGCCTTAATGGTATGAGCAGTGAAAAAACAATGGTCCACTTTTTTCTGGTCACACTGTATTAGTAATATGAGTAAACATACCTTTCATGCCTCGAGAATAGTTAATTTTATAATATACTTGTTCATTTTGATTTTGTACAGTGGTCCTATTATGTCTCATTTAACAATACTTAGGAATATTTAGTCCTGAGCAATCATTTACAATTTGGGTGCCCTTAAAATTTTCTAATCAGAAAACATTGAATTGTAGTATAATTTCAACTGATGAGTCATGAGCAAGCTCTTCATTTTGATCATATGACCACCAGAAGTGTTGACATATTGTTATAGTCTCCAACTTTTTTGTGGATGGTGTTCAATGGTTGGCATTTGGCGTTCGAAGTTTGGCATCTGTAACAAATGGCAGGTGGTGACATTTTGGATGTTAATGCCTTGTTTATGAATGTAACCATGGTACCACAATAATACTTATAATAATAATAATTATTAAATTACCAATTGACATTTTGATGGAAAATACATGGTTCAAAACATTAAAAACAGCCAATTGAACCATTTTCCATCAAAATAGTGCTATATTGTGGTCCAATTATCTTAAAATTATGAAATCTTCAATATTTTCCAGCTGCAAAGGTGTAGATGTTGTCTTATGTACACTAGAGTTGATGTTGACCCTTAAAAAGCTAGACCCCAACATGGCATCCCCATTAGCAAAGTTGTTACAAGATGACCGCCTCGTACCGTTTCTTGCTTTCGGAATGACCTCAGACTCCAGACAACGAGTTCAAAGGTCATTACGACTGGTCATGTCAGCCTCTCAACTTGAAGAGTTTCAAACTGTCACGTAAGTTATATTTAGTTAAGTGATATTGAGTTAAGTGATATTTAGTTGTTGTTTTTTAATTTTAACTTTGTCACAATTGTAATTTATCACATATACAAATCACATCTGAATAACAATGTAATATTCACACCAAAGGAGGAATCCTTTATAGTTATGTACACAAAGTTTTTGATTTTGTTCTTTGTTGAAAAATTGTGAAAAGGTATTTCTGGCATGCATGTTACAATTTTTTTAAATATCCGTGTACATATACAGGGGTTTCACTAGAATTTTTCACAACAGGCTAAATGAATGAAAACAACATGCAAAATTAATGAAAATCATAAATTTAACATTGAAAAGTCCCTAAAAACAGCAGGCGATTTTGTGAAAACAATCAGTGAAAGTTGCCTGCTGCTATAAACCCCTGATGTAGCTATTGATCTTGCATGCTTGTTACACGTTTTTTAAATATCTATGACATGTAGCCATTCTGTTTTAGTCTCGGAGAGGCAATCTCCAGCAACAACAGTAGTAAACATCAATCCTGGCAGGAAAGAAAGCAATTGAACACAAACAGTAGTGGGTTATCTGACTCCCCCTACTCTGCCCCCATTGCCCCTACCAAGACCTCTACATTCAACAAGGAGAATGTGCCCACTGTTAAACCAGGCTCAAGGGGAACTAAAAGGCAAGCTGTTGACCAGGATGAGTCTGTTCAGTTGCTCATCAAGAAGATGCAATCAGGCTTGGATATTAAAGATGCAAGAGCTTCTGAAATTATATCTGTATATGAGCACAGGTTGCAGTCTTTACAGGTAAGCTGATTCAATTTAAGGATATTAAGGATGCAAGAGCCTCTGAGATTATATCTGTATATGAGCACAGGTTGCAATCTTTGCAGGTAATCTGATTCAATTTAAGGATATTAAGGATGCAAGAGCCTCTGAGATTATATCTGTATATGAGCACAGGCTGCAGTCTTTACAGGTAAGCTGATTTAATTTAAGGATATTAAGGATGCAAGAGCCTCTGAGATTATATCTGTATATGAGCACAGGCTGCAGTCTTTACAGGTAAGCTGATTTAATTTAAGGATATTAGGATGCAAGAGCTTCTGAGATTATATCTGTGTATGAGCACAGGTTGCAGTCTTTACAGGTAAGCTGATTCAATTTAAGGATATTAAGGATGCAAGAGCCTCTGAGATTATATCTGTATATGAGCACAGGTTGCAGTCTTTACAGGTAAGCTGATTTAATTTATTTAAGGATATTAAGGATGCAAGAGCTTCTGAGATTATATCTGTATATGAGCACAGGCTGCATTCTTTACAGGTAAGCTGATTCAATTTAAGGATATTAAGGATGCAAGAGCTTCTGAGATTATATCTGTATATGAGCACAGGTTGCAATCTTTGCAGGTAATCTGATTCAATTTAAGGATATTAAGGATGCAAGAGCCTCTGAGATTATATCTGTATATGAGCACAGGCTGCAATCTTTACAGGTAAGCTGATTTAATTTAAGGATATTAAGGATGCAAGAGCTTCTGAGATTATATCTGTATATGAGCACAGGTTGCAGTCTTTACAGGTAAGCTGATTCAATTTAAGGATATTAAGGATGCAAGAGCCTCTGAGATTATATCTGTATATGAGCACAGGCTGCAGTCTTTACAGGTAAGCTGATTTAATTTAAGGATATTAATGATGCAAAAGCTTCTGAGATTATATCTGTGTATGAGCACAGGTTGCAGTCTTTACAGGTAAGCTGATTTAATTTATTTAAGGATATTAAGGATGCAAGAGCTTCTGAGATTATATCTGTATATGAGCACAGGTTGCAGTCTTTACAGGTAAGCTGATTTAATTTATTTAAGGATATTAAGGATGCAAGAGCTTCTGAGATTATATCTGTATATGAGCACAGGTTGCAGTCTTTACAGGTAAGCTGATTTAATTTAAGGATATTAAGGATGCAAGAGCTTCTGAGATTATATCTGTATATGAGCACAGGTTGCAGTCTTTACAGGTAAGCTGATTTAATTTAAGGATATTAAGGATGCAAGAGCTTCTGAGATTATATCTGTATATGAGCACAGGTTGCAGTCTTTACAGGTAAGCTGATTTAATTTAAGGATATTAAGGATGCAAGAGCTTCTGAGATTATATCTGTATATGAGCACAGGCTGCAGTCTTTACAGGTAAGCTGGTTTAATTTAAGGATATTAAGGATGCAAGAGCTTCTGAGATTATATCTGTATATGAGCACAGGCTGCAGTCTTTACAGGTAAGCTGGTTTAATTTAAGGATATTAAGGATGCAAGAGCTTCTGAAATTATATCTGTATATGAGCACAGGTTACAGTCTTTACAGGTAAGCTGATTCAATTTAAGGATATTAAGGATGCAAGAGCCTCTGAGATTATATCTGTATATGAGCACAGGTTGCAGTCTTTACAGGTAAGCTGATTCAATTTAAGGATATTAAGGATGCAAGAGCTTCTGAGATTATATCTGTATATGAGCACAGGTTGCAGTCTTTACAGGTAAGCTGATTTAATTTAAGGATATTAAGGATGCAAGAGCTTCTGAGATTATATCTGTATATGAGCACAGGTTGCAGTCTTTACAGGTAAGCTGGTTTAATTTAAGGATATTAAGGATGCAAGAGCTTCTGAAATTATATCTGTATATGAGCACAGGTTGCAGTCTTTACAGGTAAGCTGATTCAATTTAAGGATATTAAGGATGCAAGAGCTTCTGAGATTATATCTGTATATGAGCACAGGTTGCAGTCTTTACAGGTAAGCTGATTTAATTTAAGGATATTAAGGATGCAAGAGCCTCTGAGATTATATCTGTATATGAGCACAGGCTGCAGTCTTTACAGGTAAGCTGGTTTAATTTAAGGATATTAAGGATGCAAGAGCTTCTGAAATTATATCTGTATATGAGCACAGGTTGCAGTCTTTACAGGTAAGCTGATTCAATTTAAGGATATTAAGGATGCAAGAGCCTCTGAGATTATATCTGTATATGAGCACAGGCTACAGTCTTTACAGGTAAGCTGATTTAATTTAAGGATATTAAGGATGCAAGAGCTTCTGAGATTATATCTGTATATGAGCACAGGTTGCAGTCTTTACAGGTAAGCTGATTCAATTTAAGGATATTAAGGATGCAAGAGCCTCTGAGATTATATCTGTATATGAGCACAGGTTGCAATCTTTGCAGGTAAGCTGATTTAATTTAAGGATATTAAGGATGCAAGAGCTTCTGAGATTATATCTGTATATGAGCACAGGTTGCAGTCTTTACAGGTAAGCTTATTTAAGCTTGATAAACTTTCAAACTATGAAATTAACTGTGCAATAGTGGTAACGTGGTATAAAAGTTATATGACAGAACACCAACATAGTGTCTCATTCAATCATCCTTCATTATTAATCATGGTGTGATTCAGGGATCTGTTTGGTGTTACAATATTTTTCTATCAAAGACCTACATAAATCAAGTAATTTATTGAAAAATAAATATGTCACTATCAGTGATGACATATATCTATTTTCATCATGCAACACATTGATATCTATAGATATGCTAAACTTGCACTATCTGATAAGTTATTCTTGTATATTTTAACATTTTCTTATTCATTGACTCTGAAAACATGGGTCCCAGGGCTATCATTTTTATATTTTTATTATTATTTATTTTTATTTTATGTAATGTACATTATTGTATGTTTGTACATTATAATATGTTTGTACATTATGGTGTTTGTATGTTTGTTCATTATTGTATGTTTCTATGGTATGTTTTAATCCAAAAGATCTTAATTTTGATAAAACAATTAGATTATGCGCCAAATGATCTAGAAAACTTTATTAGAGAATCCACATAGTTTTTCTGAAAAATCAGAAAGACTGCTAATGTCTTAACTTAACTTTTGCAGACTGTATTGTAAATGTAATATTTCTGTTTCTAGACAAAAGAGAACCATCTACAAGACCTACTAGACACTAAAGCCCTGGCCTTACAGCAAGCAGACAGACTGATAGCCCAGTTTAGATGCCGGAAAGCTGAGACAGAAGCAGAGGTAAATATTAGGGGTGTCACGGCTCGAATATCTTTCGGGTCGGGCCAGACAAAAAGTGTGCGGGTCGGGTTATTTCGGATCGGGTCAGAAGAAACATGCAGTAATTATGGATAGGCCTATCCTGTAGACAAATTATTCATGAATATATATATTTCAATGCTTTATTGTACTAAAAATGCCTTTCGGATAAGTAATATGAAATAATATAAAAAAATCTACCAACTACTAATTTTCTTGCTTTCTTTTCCACTTTTCCTCTTGGGGGGTAATTATAAATGCTCCATCATAATAATAGTAAGCACATATTAGATAGGTATTACATTCTTATGACGTCATGTTTCATTTCTTCCAAATTTCACTTGCACACAGAGGCATATATTCAATGATAGGGACATACTTGCTAAGTATATTTACATTACGACTTAGTTACTCTATTTATTATATCATTCTAGCTCCACAAGTTACATTCACTCCTCCTAGAGTCAGAGAAGTCATGTGAGGAGCTGAGAGATCAGGTGAATGAAATGAGACTGGACAGAGAGCAGCTACAGATTGAGATGGAGCAACTTATACAAGACAACCAGAGGTCAGTGCAATCAGATCAAACCAAATAAAATCCTCTCCAAATGTGAAAGCATCTATATGGCTAACATTATCTCTGTGATTGTGCTTATAATGCTAGAGTCCTATCCTCTGTATTTGTTTTCTCTATTTTGATGTATAAAAATGTCACCTTTAGATTAACTCTTTCCAGATAATTTGGAAAATGAATAAGGAAGCCATATTGTTTAATATATACACTGTAAATTGTCATTGAGATTTTTTAATTAATGATTTTATTTGTCTTGTTGAAAACAGTATAAATATCAGAAACAGAAAATAAATAAAATATTGGAAGTATTTAGATATGTCATTTAGATATTTTGTCACTCAACCTTGATTTTTTGTTGTCTCTTAATGATAACTTTATTCTAGATTGGATGCCATTGCTGATGAACACAAAGATTTGACGCAGGTCTACAACGAACAGTCCCAGAGATTAGAAACTACCCAGAAGGCCTTAGCAGCACTGAAACAGGAGCATACGACTATGTCAGAGATGCATGAGATGTTAAGACGTCACAATGAGACTCTGAAACAACAGCATGATGTGTAAGTGATTGGATGCGTATGAAGGGGAAAACACGTTCATATATTCAATATGTGACCCAAAAACACGACTGTGAACCTGTTCAATGTTATCCCACAACCAAGAAGTCGTGAGATTTTGATTTAGCCACCGTCCCATTAATATCGAGAAGTTCTCTTTTTGAGAAACTGCATATGTTCAGTATTTTCATGGCTTGCATTTAAAGTCTATGCAAACTGTGAATGACTTGATGACAGTAAAAAAGAAACTTATATCAGTTAACAGTACAACTTGTTAAACTGTGGTATTTTCCAAATGTTCAGAAAATACCAAATGCACTGATGTTCTAAAAATGGAAAATATGCCAAGTTAAAACCATTTCACATACTCAAGTCTGAGTTGATTTGTACTTGTGACTGCACAGTGACAATGCTCAGGGTAGTAGAAACTGCAATTTTGACGTCAGGGGCCAATAGTTAAAATTGACATCCGGTTTTTCACTTACAAACGGAAATAATAATTTGCACTGGTCAAGCAGGATTAGTGTTACATATTGGGTATGTTATAAAATTCATTACTATTGTTGCTATATATTACCTTGAACATTGGTTTATATGTTTCCAGGGCTTGCCAGCAATTATCAGAGTTAGAAGATGAAAGGAAATCTCTCTCAAGAAATCTGAAAGAATCGGACTCAAAACTACAGGGTAGGTTGTCACATATGCAACCAGATCGAGTTCTGCATGGCAATATAGTTTTACATTAATCTAATATGAAATACAATATATTTGTTAAATTGTCAAATTTCAAATGAGGATATTTTCTGATATGATTTCTTCTTTGATTTCAGATTTAACCAAATCCCATCAGAAATTGGAACAGACTTATTCTAAGACTGCCAAAGAGCGTGATGAGCTAGAGGAATCTATTGATATATGTAGAGAAAATCTAGAGAAAAATGAAAAAACTAAAAAGGACCTACAGCGTCAGGTGTGTATTTTCTCACATAAAGTACTAATTGTGAATTATATAAGTATAACAAAACACAAAAATATTTTTTCTTCTTTTTACAACCTTTATTTTACTAAACAGAACGTTTCGGATCCTGTCTGGATCCTTTTTCAACTGTATAAAAACTGAACTGAAGCGCTACAAAACAATTAAATAAAAACAATATTGTGAAAAGAAGAAAAAATATTTTTGTGATTTGATAATCCAACCTGAGGAACATGTTTAAGAAGTATATAAGTATAACTGGTCATTTTATCATTTATTGTTCAACCACTAAATACAAAGATCACAAGTAATTACATGTATATAGCATAATGTATTGTTGGGGTGCTACAAATTAAAATACTCTTTTGAAAAATATCCTTTGAATTTTTCTACCAACTAGCTGTTTATATACTTCATCATGTTTAGGAAAACAAAATGTCTTAAATGATGGCTTAGCTAAGTCTGTACTCTGTATAATCTCCCCAGGTTATTGCATTCTGATTAAACCATGATTAATTTATATCTGTTTTCCTATCGAATAAGTAGGGACATTTTGAATTAAACCTCCACATTGGAGATTTAGTCAAGTGGTAGATGTGTACATGGGTGGGGGTAGAATTGAGGGAATACATTTTTCCATACATCAAATGTAAGTTTACAACTGCCTTTATAGGATGAAACAATGCATGATACTATAAGTTATTGAATGATTTGAAGTGCAATACAGGATATATTCTGTTCGAGAAATTCCGTATTGGAACGAGACGAAGTCGAGTGCCAATACAGAATATCGAGACAGAATATATCCTGTATTGCACTTCAAATCATTCAATAACGTTTTTATCGTGTTATCCTCTGTATTGCTACTGAGATTGTCTCCTCCGTACCAATATTTTCTGTATTGCGACAGAGATGATCAACGCGGACAATCTCAGTAGCAATACAGATTGGTACAGCACAAGAACTGACCAATCAGAGGGCTTCATTTTACAGATCATACGATAATATAAGTTATTGAATGATTTGAAGTGCAATACAGGATAAATTCTGCTCGAGAAATTCTGTATTGGAACGAGACGAACTTCAAATCATTCTATAACGTTTTTATCGTGTGATCTTAAGCCAACACATTTTACTTAGGAGATAATCCATCGGAAATATTCTATATTCTCTGTATTGCTACTTAGCGAGATCAATAGTGCAAGAAAACAGGCAAATAGTTCGTTCATGGAACGAAGCATGAAACTTTCCACATATCATCAGAATACCTTTCCCTTTGATTTAAGAGCCAGAGCCATTTTTGTGGTCCACTAGAATGATCAAAAAATAATAAGTACCCCCTCCCACCAAATCCCGTGGGGGTGGGGAGCTATAGGAATATTTTTTTCATAAAAATATTTCTTTGAATATGGTCATACCACAGTTTTAGTGTGCTATTTTCATGGTAAAGAAATTTTGCAAACATAACAAGATGATTTATCATCAATTTTCATCATTGTTAAAGACTAATCATGGGCGACGCCCACTTTTCATATCTTGAACATTTAGGTTATTAAATCTCTATCATGGGTTGAATAAATGAATGTAATTCAGCTCTCTGGATAAGACCAGATACTCTTTTGATGTTAGGTGCTATAATTAATCTTAGAATTTGACTTCTTAAAGGCTCATAACATATCACACCCCTGTTTAGAAGAAAGAAGAAAGCGAGCAACAAATGTCCCAGATCTACAACATGTATCCACTATTCTATGTACATGTATGTCGAGTCTCTATATTCTCCTGAAGAAAACCTATGCTACAGATACAACTGTCCAGAATCTAGATGATGACGTGCTTAAACAGTTTGATGAATGGTGTGCTGACCAAGTGCCTAAACAGTTTTATGAATGGTGTGCTGACCAACAGAATGTACCAGTCTTCAGGCTTTGGTTTCTGATTATTTAAATTGAAATACTGTGCCTAGACTATGTGAGGGCTATAGGACAGGAGGAGAATTTTCCTCTTTATTTCCAGATGGTTTCTCTTTGATTTTCATAGTTGTTAAAGACTAGTCATGGGCGACACCCACTTTTCATATGCTGAACATTTAGGCTATTAAACCTCTTTTATGGGTTTGAACCAGAACCAGAAGGGCCGCCACACAGTCACAGCCTGCAGTCTCTAAATTCTCAAGAGAGCTTATACTACATATACAGCTGTCTAGAATCTAGATGATGAAGTGATAAAGAGTTTGATGAATGGTGTGCTGACCAACAGAATGTACCAGTCTTTAAGTTTTGGTTTCCGATTATTTGAATCGAAATACTGTGCCTTAACTAAGTGTGTGCTATCAGAGAGGGCAATTTCCCTCTTTATCTCTAGTCAATTAGCAAGCGTATCACCTGGTTTTTCGTTTTTTGACCTTGTCAATATGCTTGATGAGTACCAGTTCACATTAGGAATATGCTACAACTATAACAAATACATCCAGAAGTCTACGAAGCCTTCACAAAAGGCCACTTCACTGTTACCAAGATGGAGCTTTTCAGCCATTGCTAGTGCTACTGACCAGGTTCACAAGCAGAATAACAGTCTAGATAAATCAAACGGTGGAGCAGTGTGGCTCTTTGACAACCAGACAACTCTATTGGATGGTTGGGGGCCCTGAATTTGTCAGACTGATCATGAATTTGAGAACAATATAAATAATGATCAAGATGAAGACCTATCTAATCATGAACAAAGTATAAGCATACAACAAAGATTCAAAGATAATGTGAAACTATTATCAGAAACCATAGAATAGATGGGAAATCCTTTCTGGAGACTTCAAATGACTTGTACTCATTAGACAACAAAGATATTGTATCCTCAATGTCAGTCCAGAAGAAGTGAGTAGTTCTCATAATACTATCATATTCTTTCGTACTCATGAACATAATTTATTTAAATCACGCCCATCAGTATACAATGTAAAATCAAATTGCAGGACATGATTACGTGCACAATCATGAGCATGAGGTCTCTCAGGGCAGCACATGCGCAAAGTAAAATGTGAAATTGTGGAGATGGTGTTTATTTCAGTTTAACATCAGGTCAACATCATCATTTCTAAATGAAGGTAACACTATTTAAGTTAATCGATCCAAACTTGTAGAGAATAATCATAAATCAACATTCTGCTTGTGAACCTGGGTCATCTTTGGGAAATGGAGCAAAGTGGCCAGGATCAGTACAAATTGTACACTAAAGAAAAACTGGAGGACAAATCTAAACAAATAACAGACACTATCTATATAAAAAGAAACAATTTTCTAATATTTAAGGAACAGAAAACAAAAGTGAATATTACCAAGGAAACAGAATTGAAAAAATGATTGTGCTCTCTTTTCAAGACTGTTCATTGCATGTCAGAATAGAGACAGTCATCTTGAGGAGTTCTTCAAATGTGAAAACCAATCCTTCCCACCCTCTTTATCTCAAAATGGAACAATTAAAACAACTAATTAAGTGCCGAAAGGTAGATGAAATGTTACCATCAAATTGGAATTTATTAGAGATGATGTAAACAATGTATTGTAAGATGTATTATCATATCCCCTGATGCCCATTCAAGACATTTCCCCATCAACACATGAATAAGCACATCCACCATGCAGTAAAGTCTGGGTAGAACACATTGATGATTAGAACAGTAGACTGATATTGTCTGTCTCACAGTCAGTATATCATCAGAACTCAAAGTTTAAAAATGGATAGCTTTGGGAAAAGTAAAAAATTAGAGATATCTCACATGAAATGGCAGCTGCACTTTGACATGGTAGGACTATGTGTCTCCCTTATTTCATGCCCCCACAGGTTCAGACACTATATCCGGATTCCATGGTAAATTAAAAACAACAGCGTAGAAACATTGGATTACTTATCCGAGTTGACAAATGCACTTAAAACTTTGGCTGAAGATCCCAATAAGTAAGCCAAAGTTATGCCAATCACTGAACGTTTTGTTGTGATTTTATACAACAGAGACAACAATGAAACAACTGTAAATGCTGCAAGACAAGAAATGTTCACAAAGAAAACAGCTCAAATTGAGAACATCCCACCATAAGTTGCATAAGTTCGGTCCAGACAATTATACCTATGTCAGTCCTCGCTTCACTCTCAAAATTGAGTTGGGAATCCATTACCCCAAAGGCTGGAAAAATGATTTATGTGCCAGTATGGAAAACATTGCCCCAAGCTTCAGATGCATGCCAAATCCTAGTAAAATGTAGCTGCAAACAATAGTGCTCAACAAAAAGATGCAAGTGCTTTAAAGCCAATATTATGCATGTATTGCCCTGTATTTGTGTGACAGGGATTGTAATGGACATGGCACCTAAGTGAGTGATAATGATAATAGAGTGTTGAAGTGCTTAAATGCACAAAATAGGATATTTGAACTGCAGTTAAGATACTTAATGAGGTAACTTGTATCAATTAGTCAAAGTGCTCTCATTAAAAATTATGTATCATTAATTGTGAATTATATATTATAATATCTTTATATCTAAAAGGGGTGTGGCCTTTCACAAGCCTTTAACAGTGAAATTGACTTACTTACAGCATCTATTATCTTAACATAAGTAATCTTGTCAGTTTTATTCTGCCATATTAGGTAATTTTCCTATCCATAATAGAAGACTCATTAACTTGTATATTAAACATGTTGATAAAGTGGGCGTCGCCCTTGGTCAGGCTTTAACAATGAATATCAATGAGAAATACTGATGCAATCTTGAAAATTGTTTTTTAACACTGAAAATAACATACTAAAAATGAATATAGATCATATTCAAAAAAAAAATCAACAAAAAAATAATTCTTCCCTCCCTCCCCCCAGGATTTGATGGGAGGGGGTATTTGCAATTTTTCGGTCATTCTAATGAACTACAAAAATGGCTCTGGCTCTTAAATCAAAGGGAATGGTATTCTGATGATATGTGGAAAGTTTCACGCTTCGTTCCATGTATGAACTATTTTTGCACTATTGATCTCACTAACTGAGATCCCCTCCGTACTAATATTTTCTGTGTTGCAAGGGAGATGATCAATGTGGACAATCTCAATAGCAAAACAGATTGGTACAGCAAAATAACTGGCCAATCAGAGACCTTCATTTTACAGATCATACGATTAGATAAACATTGTTCTCATTGTATATAAATCTTACTCCACTGTTTTTCAGGTCTCCTCCCTAGAGCTTGTGTTACGGAACCACGAAACTGCAATCCGGGAGAAAGACACTTTAATACAAAACCAAAAAACTGAGATAGAAAAGCATAACCAGATAGCACAGCTTATTAATCAATTAAGTAGTGGGAAAGCAGAAAACTTGAATAAGTAATACTGAACCAAAACTGTTTTTCTGAAAACTGTATTTTAATTCAATATCTTTAGCTAAAAAGGCAAGTACTCATTGTGTATGAATTTTAGATGGATTTAATCGCATTTCTGATGAGATGTAACATTCAAGATGACAAAACATTAATCAATCAAACACAGTGGATTATCAGAATCACAACCTTCCCTTCAATGATAGGAACATAGAGAGTTTAAGTGAGAGGATATAGACCAGATTCGGTTTTAATACACAGTGAAAAGTTGTTCACATGTCGACAACAGTGATCTCCCCAGGACATTTAACTCAATAGGGTGCCTCATCCTAATTTTGCCTGTTTTGGACAAAATAGTAAATACAGTACCTCAATATTTGACCATGACAGGTTCAAACAAATATACTACAGGGTGGCATATCACTAGGCCTACTAAGATTTCCAAAAATGTAGGATTTTATATTAGTTTGCAGATTTTCAACAATATGCACTACCCTATTGCTCCAAAGCTGTACTATGATCTGCCCCCCCCCCCCCCATGATCTCGGAAACGGACAATCATAGGAGATTGTGCTAGGTATCATTGGAAAGGTTATTCAATTCCCAGTATTTTGAGCTTACTTTTAACTTCTTGTATATTGAGCAATTATTGATGAAGAAATTCATTTTCTAAGAATATAGGGGTTTATAGTTTCAAGTCAAAACTAGTGAAAATTTAGGTATTTCGGCAACTTTGACCAGCTCCAACTTTCTCCCTAGGGGGTTAGAGTCACAATTTTTTGCAAAAACATGCTTAATTCAATTTTAACAAAGGCCAGAAAGTTTCAGATCAAAAGACAAACAACAAAAAAAAATTCCTTGGGGGGAGATCTAATCGTTTAGCGTTAAATACACTATTTACCCACTCACACATTTATTCATTAGATATTACACACATGCAATTGTTCATTACACACATGTAATTGTTTATTACACACATGCAATTGTTCATTACACACATGCAATATCCTAGATGTGAGTAGAAATAATCTTGATTTACGTCATTAGAAATTCACAATTCAGTCAAACTGGTGTCATATTTGGAATCTACATATAAAATTACATCAGTCTAAACATGTGGTTTTGAAAAGAGTTTATCAACTTTGAAAATGTAATTTTCTTTGAAAATGTGACTCCTAGGTCGGGGAGATTCCCCATAGATCCCATGTTGTAAAACTACAAAAAGTGAAATATCTTTTCTTGTGTTGGGCAGATAATATTTTCTTTTACTGAACTTATTAATTTGTATAACTAACACATAAATAAGGGTAATTTGAAAAGTGAACCACTAAAACTGATGCATATTCAAGTTTAAAGGGAATTTTGTAATACCCTGCCATGTTATAACCCCCGAATCAGCCACCTGGTGGCGAAACTGGTAACTACCTACTCACATCTGAGTAATTGTTTCTCAAGAATGACAAGTTTTTATGATAAAATAATTTGATTGTGTCACAGTACATCCAAGTATACGATTTAAATGTAAAAGTATATCAGGTTCAGAAAATAGACCCCTTAAGTACACCCCTATAAATTACATGTTCTTGCTTTATATGGAGCAGTAAACGGTACATATGTTTGTTGGTTAGAAACTAAAATATGTTTTACTTGTGTTAATTGATGCAATTGTATATACTTGTATATAATACAACATATTAAATAAATTATATGTAGATACTAAAATAGAATAAAAATGTGGTATAACTAATTATTGGTGTATTTTCGTATCATATGTGTTATTTAATATTTTCCTAACCATGCAGATACGATTTTGTACTAAAGGGGACACATGAACTCTACCTTGTTGACTTTTAAAGGAGTTTTTAAATACATCATTTGCATAACAAACTTTTTTCCCATTCCACTCCCCATGTGTCATGTGTGTTAAAATTGTGCGCTAAGGTATAAATTGCGCATGTGTTCAGGCACTGTCATATTCCTCACTCTCTGATCGGTCCATGTCCTACACGTGACTAAAAAATAACAAGCGATATTCAACGGAAGTCACTAATAACGGAATGAATGCAGCTAGTACTTGATGGTGAACTGACTCAGTATTGATAAAATCAACAATATTTCTCACCTTGTTCCTCAGTATAAAAAATGGCAATCCACAATGGCAGGAAACGTCAATGTATGTAGAGAAATGGTACGATAATATTTTTTGACGCATATGTTGACGATGGTTAGGCGCCTTACAGTAGAAAGGAACCGGAAAAATTGATAGCACTTCTCGGAACTGAAAGTTCCTCGAATAATCAATGGGTATCTGTATCTGCAGTTCTCACTTCACACTTCTCGGATAATTAATGGTTGTTTGTAGATCTCACTAAGCAACCACAAATAGGCCTACTCGATGATGACAATTATTCTGCTATATGAGTGTACTGAGACCAGTTTATTTGATCTGAAGATTGTTAAACACATCTAACTACACAAGCCACTATACGTACTTCATACATATGTAATTTATTTGGGGATGGGAAAAATATGGCATCCTCTATTATTAAGTGGCCTATTTGTACACATACTAATACCAGGCCCTGGTCATATTCAAAATCTTTACATAATCCTGTAATATGATAGTAGTAAGAGTCCTTTATCAATATTGAGGATGAATGACATTTGATCTATGAGTCATGTTATCCTATATGGTGGTAGCCAGAGGGGGTGTTGCTGAAAAAAGCAATTTTGTAAAATTGTTGAAAAAACATTGACATATTATAGTTAGAATGCATGATGTACAATGTAAATTTTAATATACAGGAACCCCTGTATCCCCCTTTTTAAGGCTCGCTTCACTTGCATTGATCCAAAATATTGCACCCCCTTGACATTGCTGGCTACGACCCTGTCCTATTAAGATATTGGAACTTTTCCCATTAATAAACCTTCAAATTCTTTTCTTCTAGTGTCTCTCAGTCAAGATTTTGGCATGAGCAGTCCTATTAGGTCCACAAAATCCAATGGATTTCACTATAAACAAGCAGATGATTTGAGCGTTTTCAGAAAATATGACACCTGGTCTTGTTACGTAACTCTGAACATAAGATCTGAAATAACCTTTAATGCTCAATAAACAAATAAATGAGGCTCAATCCCTATTCAAATCTCCGTGAATTGATGCAGTTCTGGACAACCAACCCTTCTTTTGTCAACTTTGAGAACTTCTATAGTTGATTCAAGTTTTTTTGTAACTGTGTTTGAGTATATGTGTCTTCAAGGCTGGTATTGTTGGGAATATTTGTTCACACACATGGCACCTGCAAGTCAAAGCCATACATTTAACTGTCTCATATTTTATGAAATTATTCATTCCAAACACAAAGGCTTCTTCATGGTTAATATATCTTAATAGGGACAGTCCTAAATTTACTGCAACCTTAACATCTATAAAATGAATCCTACTGGAATGTCAAAGTATCTAAAAGTGAGTCCTAAAGTTACTTAAATGCCAATGTATCTGAAAGCGAATCATACTGGAATGTCAATGTATCTTAAAATTGAGTCCTAAATTTCCTGGATCGAATGTCAGCGTATCTATAAGTGAGTCCTGATTCCACCAGAATGTCAATGTATCTAAAAGTGAGTCCTACTGGAATGTCAATGTAGTGAGTTCAACTAAGATGTCAATGTGTCTTCAAGGGAGTCCTACATTTACTGGAATGTCAGATGAGTATATCAAAAACGAGTCCTACTAGAATGTCAAAGTATCTAAAAGTGAATCCTACTGGAATATAAATGTATCTAAAAGTGAATCCTACTGGAATATAAATGTATCTAAAAGTGAATCCTACTGGAATATAAATGTATCTAAAAGTGAATCCTACTGGAATATAAATGTATCTAAAAGTGAATCCTAGGTTTAGAATGTGGTTTGTAAATTTAATTGAAAAAAGAAAAAACTTGAAGAAACTGTTCATTAAAACCTAACCTGAGAGGTTGTTTCAGTATTGCCTCATATTTTGATTTGTCTCGTATAAAGCAACCCTTTTCTTTTACCTCCTTTATGACATCTACAATTATAAAACAGATACATATATCACAAATTCATGATATCATATTTCTATATCCTTTAGACTTTACGAGTAAAAAGTAATCTAAATATCAGACTTCATAAGTTAACAGAGCAATTTTACCTTTTTTAGCAATTCCATCTTAAAGAAATGTATAAAAATGAGACATTTTCCAGTGTTTGTTATTTTTTATTTTCAAAGTGCTTCAATTCGCGATGTTAAAATTCACATTTCAATGCAATGACAGCTGTAAATGCTCAAAATATGTCTTTATTTTTGAGGTTTCAGTTTCTCATTCTGCTAAAAAGCATTTTTTACAATGATTCATATTGAGGTGTAACACTCCTTTGATATAACAAGTCAAGTGTTTGGAGATTCAAGTTTTAGGAAATAATCCGGGGGGGTTCGCTCTAAATAATTTGGGTAGATATATGCAGCACAGGGAATTTTGGCTAAGGGCATAAACCATGGAAACTGGCCAATCTGAGAGGAAAAAACATGGAAATTTTTTCGAAGAGAGAGCCCTTTTTAAGTCAAAAATCAGTTTTTCTACAAAAAATGATAATAAATTGGTAAAATCAGTTGGCGAGGTCTGGGACAAATCACCTTAAAAGTGGATTTTATGGAAACTTTCATTCTTGAGAGGAAATTGACATGGAAAAAATGCTCAAAATGGGGGTCTTTGGCGCGGCACATAGGTATCAACTGATCAAGAGGTATAATTGGAGTGAAACCCCCGGGGGAAATAAGTGAAATGGGCTTACAATAGTTTATGAAGATGAAAGAATATGAAATAAGACATTAACATGACAAAATGTCACCACCTACTCTGCTCACAATATTATGAGTTCAATCTTAAGTCTGATTTGAACTTCTGAGAAATTGAAGTTGGAAAAATACCTTTTTGACCTTGTTTAAGCCTTTTTACCTTGAGAAGGTCATTCAAGGTCAAATCTAAAGTCAGATTTAAACTTCTAAAAACTTGGAGACCTTAACAACATGTCACCACTAATAATAAAGTTGTTACCTTTAGAATCTATGAAGTACTCTGTTGTGAATGTGTTCCAATGTTTCTTGTTCTTAAGACAGGGAGAATTGAAATCCTGGCTGATTACATGGAGGTGAATGTGGCTGAAATATGATATGTCTTGTTTTAACAAACGGTATTAATTTTTTTATTTCATGAACACATTTTAAATGGTATACCATATTCTCTGTAATGAATGCGACTTTTATGTTGAATATGGTCTCAAGAAAATATGAAGTCTAATGTATTAGTTACACAACATGATATCAATCAATGATTATATTTAGGGCAGAGAAAGTAATTCAGGAGCTGGAGAGTATGTAAACATTAGTGGTAACAACTCCAAAGATTATCGTGGGTTTTTTTTCAAAATTTTTTGGGATTGCGCTTATTGAAATCTCTCAATATCTTACCCTTTGAAATTTCAATTTGGAAACTGCACTGTGGCACTGTGCGCTCATTAGAGAGAATACAGTATATTTATCTACAGTATCATATTGAAAAGTTTAGATCATAATTGGTCCACAGAATCTGATTCAATGAGGAGAGCTGTCTACCATGTACCATACTCCATTCATAAACCTGGCCATGAAAATACTAGCATTTATGTTTGTAAATTTGCATTGTCATATATTTAGCTCACAATATAACAGTACATTAATTTACACTCATACACAAAATAACCCTGTCTAAAATTGTTAGCTCTTGGAGGATTTAAATTCTTAAGGTCAATGCCCAAGTTCACGTAGATCTATATGAACATAATATGTGTACCTCATGCTCGGAATGCAGTGGTAACCAAGCCTGAATTTCAGCGTATCATCTGTCCTGAAAGAAAGGAATCATGATAATAAAGCTTAAAGTTTAAATCACTTTGGCTTATATTATAGTCTTACCCAATGTTATCAAAATATTGTATGTGAAACTTTTTTCTCTAATTTCAAAAACTTTTCGAAGGACTTTTTGTTCGAAAAATTGTGAATTTTATTTATAACTAAATTTCAGAGGAGGCACTTATCTTTTGATAAGCGACAATTCTCACCAATGCATTGATTTTTTCTTGCAGGAAACTAGTATATGTGAGCTGATTATAGCCATTAGTACAACTGGATTTGCTATCTGCAGGGATGAATAGAGGATAACATATCATTTGGAGAATGTTAATGTTACCAGGCCCATAGCCAGACCATGGGGGGGGGGGGGGGGGTGGGGGGCACTTTAAAAAAAATTCCAGGTGGTTCACTTTAGACAACGTTGGCCCAAAATCACTTGAAAAGTGGCCAGAATGGTGAAAAACTGCACGAGCCCCCTGAACCCCCCCCCTGGATACAGGCCTGGTTACTATACTTGAAGGCCAGTTGTTCTCCTTCCAGCTGCATATGTTCCAGCAGAGGAATGTGATCTCTCGTCAGACTCTTCAGGCTTGATATGTTTTCCTTTGGTAGAACCAGGAAATGGTGTTTAGCCTGAAACATAAAATCCATTTTGGAAAGCTTACATGATTCACGCATTTCACACTGTGATAAAATGTAATGAAAATACTTGTTTTGGCATAGAGCATTTTGCTTTAGAAACAAAATTTTATAGGTTTCTCAAATGACAACAATACAGATTTCAGGAAATTCCCATGTGCAAACTGTAAATCAATTTTACAGCTCCCAGATATGAGGATTTGGATGGTTGCTAATGCTCTATAGAGTACAGGGATAACATTGCCTCCCTATCCTCTAGAACTTAATATTTGTGCACTGATAGGCAACCCACCTGCCCACTGAATATGGTTGATAATCAAATTTCATCAGAGCAATATCAGGATATTATTGAGGTATGTTATTCCTGTAATGTCTGGTCAAAATCACAATTTGTTAAATAACCATCAAAAGTTGTCATAATGAGCTATATTCTAAGTTTTGTGTCTCAAACTCTCCTAAGCACTATAAAGATAATTCCCATTCACTTTAAGTAGCACAATAAATTAATCCAAAGCTTATACCTGCAAATGATGGATAAATTCCTACCAAATCGAACTTATGTTTTCATGAATCGCCACGTTTGTGATCCAAGGAGGATTTACTCCCAGAATGCAACATCAGTTAACCTTATTTACTTGTGACAGGTTTCAAAATGGCGGAATGGCATTTTGAAAGCTGGCACGTGTCATGTTGCATTCTGGGAGTCAATCCTCCTTGCTATTACAAGAAGACAATTGCACTGAATACACTGAGACATGGGCTTTCAACTTTCTAATTGAAAGCCCTTGACTGAGGTAAGAATTTATTACATGTGGCATGCATTTTTCATAGCAATAGTAATTCTTCATGTTCCCCACTGTCTGGATGCATGTCACACTCTAAAGACATTAGCTGTAAGATTGGCTGAATGATGCAATATGGAGCGTCAACATAACATACTTGCATCTGACTACATATGGAGGTTCAGGCTTTATTCATTATTAATCTGTATAGTAACATCCACAATTTATTGACGTATAGGTCAATGGGCGATAATATGTGATAAATTAAAACCTCACTTTTGGATACTTGTCTTTAATAATAACTATGCGTTCATCTACTTTAACTTGAAGTTCAGGATCTTCCATAGATACTTTCAATCCCATACTCCAATGTCCTGCAATCTTCTTGGCAGTTTTAGAGGCTAAATCACCACTTTTTCTCTTCAAAGAGCTCATCTTTACTTTTTCCGAAATTTGAAGGTACTTCCAAACACATTTAGTAGCTCTCCCATGATTGGTCAAATTTCTAACAAGCAATCTTCAAGCAATCAAAGGAAGAGGTGCGATTATTGGCAAATACCTCCATGGTCAAAATGAATATTTCTTTGGTGTAACATTAAAAAAAGTAATAGGTTTCCAAAGTGATTTTTCAAGAAACACATGATTTTTTAACACTTAGCAGTGCTAGAAAGTTAGACCATGGTTAGACAATTTTATTCTCTACTATTAAACAATTTTTGGTGAATCCTTTTTTCTGAATAGATATTGTGTAATCTGATTTGTTCCGAACCCACCATTTCGCATTGGTTTACATGAGAATGACGACTTACAAATATTATATTCATATTTCGCACAGTTTAAACTCAGCTAATCATTATTTTGCAGGAACTTTGTTGGAAGCCATGGTTCGGATCAAATCATAGAGAATTGAAAATGGCGCAGACCCCTAGGCCCTCCTATACTCCAGTACTCCAAAAGATCGTTTTATATTTTAACTTTTTTGTATAACGTTTGCACGGATCGTTTTAAGGTACAGCTGGAAAGTAACATTTTGGTAAAAAACTGCTATACCTGCACATGTTATTTTCTGGTACAAAATAAACTATGAAGACATGTGTCAATTCCCTTGCATTTTTCAGGAAAGTATCATTACATTGTCTTCTTATAGAATATCTAGTAGGCGTTCAATGGGAACTCCAGGAAATTCTGATATTTCACACTTTCTATTTTTCCAAATTTTCTTTCAAAGTTTCCAGACAACACAGGAGCTACCATTGACCTGTTTCCAGGTTTACTAAAAGTAGACCGAGTATAATGATACTTTCCTGAAAAAAGCAAGGAAATACACCCATGCCTTCATACTTAATTTTGTACCAGAAAATAACATGTGCAGGTTATAGCAAATTTTTACCAAAATGTTACTTTCCAGCTGAGCCTTAACTTTGAATCTGTTATTTCAAAATTGTGCATTTCGATATTATGTTTTGTTAAGAAAGTAAGTCCCTTGAACTGGTAAATTCTCAAGAGCGAAGATGAGATAATCAAAATGTTTTGATATGGGTTGTTAAAACATGGAGAAAATCTTTTATAAATACAAGTGACTGTTCTAATATAAAACGTTTTTTTGTTCAGAGGTCTTGAGTAACTAATTAGCCCTACATTATTCGAATATTAATACCTTATGACTTTTTATAATTTTATATGAATTTTTCCAATTATATGAAAATAAAATAAACTCAGTCGAAATGATCAGCAACTCATGAATGCATCGGTCTTCTTTGCATCTTGTTTTATCAAGCTTCGGACCTATCCTCCGAACGTCGGGCTAGCGGATTGAGAGTGGGAACCGACGATGCTTCCTTGTGGGACAGAACTCTCGTATGCAAAACAAAGATGATCCTTTTGACGTCCGAGACTTCGTATTGGACCAGAACAGGCTTAAAATTCCTACAAAATATTTATTGATTTAGCCATTGCCTGTGATATTTTTGTCTAAGAAGAAGTATTTTTTAAGCTAAACATAAATTTTGCGAATTTATTGATATTTCTAGATCTAAAGTGTCATGCTCTGGGGTCTTTCTAAAATTACACGATCCCACCCCATGCCTAAGGTTGCCAAAGTTTTGGAGAGAAGTATAACTTTAGTATGACATGTTTTTTTTACATAGGGATCATGTGTTCCCCATAACAACTATGAAATTATTTATTGATCATATAAAGTTTTCAAATTTCACAGTAAATTAATGTTTCTGCTTATTGCTGTGATTTTTTCCACAAATGAAAGCACACTTTAAATCAAGACCGATTAAAATTTCTTCATTGTAAATTAGATATCACTCGAAAAACTAGAATTCTATACAGGGTGTCAAATAAGTCCCGTCCCCCTGCTACAGCTAAAACCTTATCAGAAGGTACCTAGTGTGATATACCATTGGAAAGATCATCCAAAGTTATGTTAACTCACAAACTCTCAAGTATTTTGGATGAAATTTACCTATATTTTTATGATGTCTTTTAAAATTAACCTACCCTCCTTTAAGTAGCTTTTTTGTGTCAAAATGACAAGGATATGACCTCAGAAATACATCAAAAAGTTAATCTTTTTCACATTCCACTTGTTACAAAAAGGTTTTCCCCACTTTCCTTGCACCTCTATTTTCTACACATCTAACCCTATCAAGAAATAGGTTAAATTCATCGCCATAAACATATTTAGTCATATTTTGGTCCCGTGACCTTTCTTGTACACGATTCTTAAAATCGTGCCAAATACGCCAAATTGCCATGTTTCTAGGCATATGGTCACTTCAATTGATACAATGTAAAAATTTCTGAGATTGATTGATATGATATGCCAATCAACGTAACTTTGGAAGACCTTTCCAATGATATATCACACTTGGTACCAAATATCTTGGTTTTGGCTGTAGAGGGGGGGGCTTATTTGACACCCTGTATAGTCCCTGTACGACGATGCCATCTTTATACTGATTCGTCAGGTATTTTACTGATCAATGGATAAGCATATTGAGAGTCATTCTCTAAAACTGAATGAAAACACAGAGTAAAATCCCGTACCAAGGGCTGATGGTGAAAAAGTCAGGTCATTAACTAAAAAAAGTTTATTTTCAGTTTTTTCTAGAAAATGAACTTCTATAGTATTTTACTGGCAATTCCAGAGAGCATGACCAGTGGCCCTAATGTATCATTTTTTTGTCTTGCTTCTAGATCCCCCATCGACTTCACACTAGTCTTGTGTTGGAGAAGTAGATAAGGGGGGGGGTCCACAGTCTTGAAGCAAGACTAAACATTTTTTAATATTGCAAAACTAAAGCATGGTCCATGAATAATTCTGCCGCTATTTTTTTAATCAAAACAATAAAATTGGTAAATGCTTATGAAAATATATCTAGAGAGAATGATATGAAATACCCACACGTGGTAATGATAATTATTAATTACTCTTTAACATCCTCCCTCAGTTAACCTTATTCTTATTCATAATTAAACGTAGATGCTCTGATAATATTTGATAATTATAGCAATAAACAACAAAGATCAGGCAATGAATAACTATCACATTTAAAATGCACTAAATTAAGTACAGCGCACTTTCTTTGTTTTGTTGTCAACATGAGTCACCATGGTGATACAAGATAAAAATATCCACTTAATGAGAAAGAAAAAACTGACACCAGACAAATAAATGAAAACAGGAAATGTACATATCGAGTTAGGCTAGATCCTAATCCCTATTATCTATCTTTTAATGCTTTGTCACTTATGATTGTCTAACGTAAATTCAAAAGAGCTTGCATCTGTTTGCCAATATCGTGTACGATAGATTCGTGCAATGGCTTTATCACGCCGTTCGTATTTATCATGCACCAGCTGAGGTCCAGCGCAGCCGGTAACAAATGAAGCGTATCCTCCTCTTTCCACGATGAAATCTGTAAACAAAAAAGATATAAGTCATCATCGATTTTTTTAATTTCTATATCTGATGACTCTTGATGATTAATATCTAAGAAAAGAAATTACGGATTCATGATACAGTTAACAATACGTTTGATACCGGACAGAATTAAAAGTTAAGGTCCGTTTGTGATAGAGCTTGGGGTGGTCCTAAATAACACTTTTTATGTCACCACCAGAAGTTACCATTTTTGTGGACGTTGTTCGGCGGTCGGCATCTGTAGCTGTAACAAATGACTTGTGGTAAAATTGTGCATGTTAAAAATGTTTGAAAAATTATGCTCCCATGGTGAAACGGTGTTCTTTTAGGGCTAAATATTCCCGATGGCCAACCAGCAAACTTATTGACAGTCGTACATCTTCCCATCAGATGATCTGGTATCAAAAAATGTCGCATTATATCATAGAGTGTTTTGCTGAAACAAAAAGATCTGATGGGCATCAGAATGCGAACGGAGGCATTCTTGGATTCATTTTTTTTTAAATCAATACTTTTATAACAAGTGTATCATTTTTGTTATCGGAAATTCTAGGTCAAAGAACATCTACACTTGCTCTATGCTAGAATAAGCGAATTCAAATATGAAATGTAACAGCTTAGAACAAGTGTTATCTTATTCAAAGTTTAAATAAAACGTTTTTCTTGGATAACATAAAATCAATGGTATCTACACTGACTAACATGCATTGTGCACCTAGGGGACCATTGTCCCGTGTATTCAGTAGTTGTGCTTATAACAACAGCTTGAGCTTGTAAGGAGGTTGGCGCAGTAAGTCCTAATTTTAATTTCTAAAAGCAAAAAGTGAGATATCTTGAGTCTATCTGATCAGATAAAGTTATTCAATATTTAAGATGCCAATTCATGACAATTAAAAATGAATCATCCTTTTTCTTTGACAGATAACCTTAAAAACCAAAGGACTGCCTTAAATAAAGTCAGGTCCATTTTTCAGAAAGTGTGCATCTCAAAAATGTTCTCAACTCATCTTTATCCCTTTTATTCCCTGTAAATACATGTAAATCCCAATTTGCCATGGAAATAAAGAATCCATTGGAAATGTTTAGTCTCACCATGGGCTTTCAATAAGAAGGGTAGGCAACTCTGTGTAATAAAATGAGACCTTCAAAAAGAGCAATGCCATGCTTCCCTTTTATGGTAATATTTCAAAAAGTATTAGATAAATGTATATGTTTTAGTATTATTTTGAATAAAAGTCAATTTTCAACATGATTATAGCATAAAATATATTCAATCTCATGTAAAGGTAAACAAAAAAAAAGACCAATAAGAATAAGAGTTATCAAGATGTTCTCTTTTAGTATTGCATTGTGGGTAATTATTCAAGAACACATTCCATTAACAAAATAATTTGTGGGGGAATGTTCACTTTCTGTATTGTCATAATTATGATGAATTCCATTTTTATTAAATTATCAACATGTATGGGGATAATCATGTTTTTCTTTGAGATATTTCTTTAAATCATCCATAGAAATGACAAAACAAGATTTTATTGGAATGTGTATATTCTCCAATTTTGAAAACCCAGAGGCAATGCTTATGTATGAAGAATGGGAAGTTGCCTACCCTTCTAGTTGAAAGCCCATGGTCTCACGTTTAATTTAAGTGTTTGCAAGTCAATCTAATCATTACCTTTGAGTTGTCACAAAATACTTCTTAGGTTACTTTAATGTTACAAAAACAAGCATAACACGACAAAATGTCACCACCTAGTTGCTCACAATATTATGAGTTCAATCTTAAGTCAAATTTGAACTTCTGAGAACTTTTAGATGATTTTGAAATAATGTGGTCAATTCGAAGCAAGTTTAAAAAAGATCTTTTGACCTTGAGAAGGTCATTGTTGGTCAAATGTCAAACCTAAAGTCAAAAAAAATTGGTCACTTTGAAGCAAGTCGAAAAATATCAGGTCAAATCTTAAGTCAGATTTGAACCTCTGAAAACATGTAGTTGATTTTAAAAAAATAGTCAATTTGAAGCAAGTTGAAGAAGAGGACTTGTAGATGATTATGAAAAAAGATTTTTTCAATTTGAAGCAAGTTGAAAAAGACCCCTTGACCTTGAGAAAGTCATTGAAGGTCAAATCTCATATCTAATTAAGGTCGACATGGACTTCCGAGAACTTGTAGATAATGATAATTTCATAAAGATAATTTTGAAAAATATTGGTCAATTTGAAGCAAGTTGAAAATATACCTTTTGACCTTGAGAAGGTCATTGAAGGTCAAATCTTAAGTCAGATTTGAACTTCTGAGAAGTCAGTCTAAATAGTATGTACAAGTATTTATGAATTAGTTATTGGAGGTTGTTAGAATTTGTTACAGACACCGACCACCAACCGTCACCCGCCATCCACCAACTGCTGTCCAGAAAAAACGGAGACCATACTATACTTGGTGGTGACAAAAACTAGGAAGAAATGTTTTATGTGAGTTATATGCCAAGGTTAAATTAGAATATTTATAGTGTGTATGTGTATATTATCATAGGGCAGATAAAACAACTTCATTCATTACCCGTAGCCATATAAAATTCATTTCCATATAAAATTCATTTCTGTAGAAAAATCAGAAAAAATGCTAGCCATAATTTCTTAGGTGGTTACCACACTAGATGGACTGCTAAAATATAATTGTTATGCTTGCATGTGAAAATCGATGTCATTATTTTATCTATCAACAAAATCAATCTTCTTTTCGAAGTTATAATAAAAAGTGCAAAAGACATGCATGATTTAAATGGTCACAATTTTTCAAAATGGCCGCTTTAATTGGAAAAATTGTCGTTATGCTTAAAGTTCTGACATACAGTTAGAGGGTGCAATAAAATCGCTCAATAATCTCACTTTTGAATATTAAAGAATGTAGAATGTCTAAAAATTCTTAGACCAAAGATACTGTAGATTAAATCGACACAAAAATTACCAATTGAAACCAGTGTTCATTTTGAAAATCTGTTTTTAAGTAGTTCTACAACAAAAAGGCACATGTGAATGAAAGATGAACAACATGTTGGCCAATGGTATTTGAGTTATCACCCAGACGGCCGGACATTATAGGCTTTAAAACAGTAATCCCTTCCAACTTGATAAGTAAGCTGCTGATGTATACAAATAAGTGAAACAATAAAAATCATGTTTAAGTTTAATCCCTGGTAGTGTAGTTGGTTTAGATCTATTTAGAGGATTCAATAATTAAAACATTAACAAAACATGTTTAAACATTGTACTTAAAACCCCAAGGTAACCCATTTGTTGGTGAAATTACAATAGATCAAATGTTAGTCGTATTGACAACTTTACGAGTCTTTATTAACACATTTACAGCACATGGCATCTTGTCTTATCATTCGACACAGCATGGAGACAGTAAATAAAAAAATTCCTGCAATTTAATTGGTCGAACAAGTGTACTGTAATGATACATTGTAAAAAATGATTATCTTTACGACTTACAATTGTCAGGTTTGAATCGAATTATGAGACTCCACATTGAAGGTTTGATGCTAATTTTCACGGATGATCCTTCTAGGGTTGTTTTCTTCATCACATATTTCTATATATCACAATCAAAACATATGTCCTGGGAATAACACAAGCTATTGAATTGCAGTATTGTAGTCCCAAGATCCTTTAGCACCGATTTCAACTAATGTGATGTCATTTGAGATTTACTGGGAATCGTGGCCAATTCACAATAAAGACTATTAAATTTAGAAAGACCTAATTGATGCAAGAGGGATGTTTCTCGTTATGTCCCCGGGTAAATGTTTCTTGCTACCTCATGAGTGAAATGTTTCTTGCTACCTAATGATGGAAATGGTTCTTGCTACCTCATGAGGGAAATGTTTCTTGCTACCTCACGAGGGAAATGTTTCTTGCTACCTCACGAGGGAAATGTTTCTTGCAACCTCCTGAGGACACAGTTACTCTACTGAGAATTCAGCCAAATGGTTTTAAAAGGGGCTTGTGTACATTATGTTTGATGACAAATTGGGATAACGTATCATATCTCTAGTTCTAGACTACTAAAAAGTATACTGTTTAAATCCTACAAGTATAGAACTAGAAATTCAGCTTTTCATCCAACGCATTCTGGACTTTGAATAAATGTTTTGTTATAATTTTGTCCAAATTGAATGGGGTTATCTATATGCATGCATTGTTTTAAACCTTCTTCATTTGATAGGTTATGTTTTAGCTTAATTAGCTTAACTGTAGGTAATCCAATGTTATGAGAAAAGTTGAGAAATTTGGAAAACTTAAAGGGCTGACATTTTGAATGTTTTCATCATTTATTCTTAATATAACAGTCCTTAAGTTGGCACTGACCTCTGACCACAATCCAAGGATACTTTCCTGAAAAAATAAGGAAATATACCTAACTCTTCATACTATCTTTTGAAAAAGAAAATAACATGGACTCGAATAGCAATTTTTCAAGAATATAATTTTGACATTCACCTTAAACAATGCAGTTTAGACACATATTTCAGAACCCTATGGTACAAATCATTAAACAGATATTATTGGTAGCTATGAAAATGACATCACTCTCCTTAGTCACTGAGTATAATAATCGACCAAATAATAAAAACTTTTAGATTGTAGGATGCTATCCATAAAATAACCGATGTTTTTGATATATGCACCGATATACCCTCTTATGGATATCTAGTGTCAACTGTTTTAATTTCATGTTAGACAATTACAGTAAATAAATAAATAGAAAAAATTATTTCCCAGGAATGCATGTCATGAACATTATTACATTTGATTCAACAAGATTACAATCTTTCTCACAATTCTAACCACAAATTCATAAAAAACCTAATCTTTAATAAATATAAACTTTGATATAGAAATCATTTTTATGCCTTGCTATTTGCAGAGATTTGGAAAGTTGCAAGCAAATGGCTTAATTAAACAAAGTTTATGACTGAAAAGGAAATACCAACATTACTTTGGGGTCAGCCTGTCAGATAAACAATAGAAAATATCTTTTAAACAATTATATAATATGCTAATTAGGTCATTAAACTCTCATTAGGTAAATCCAGGTTTTAAAAGCAATTAGAAAATATTGTTTAGATAAATTAGTTATTGGAAAGAGATCAAAGACCACGGCAATACTCTGATATCGTGGTCTTTCCAATAATTGTGAATGAGAAATTCTCCAATTACTGTTGGCCACAGATTCAAAAGATAGGTAGAAAGCGAACGTAAAAATGCTTCTTTTTTTGACAATATAGAAATAATACAAATATTTACTGATTTGTGTATTTTAAGTACCGGTATCTAAGTATTAAGTGATTTTAAGTATTTGTTCACAAATGTTGAATGCCTGATTTAATAAACTGAAAATTTGGTTATCTGAAATGAATTCTCTGTTGTACAAAATGAGTACTTGATATGATAATAATGAAACTAATTTATTGTATTGTATTGTATTGTATTGTATTGTATTGTATATCTTTGAATAATATCAACGAAAACTGCTACCTTTATATTTTGTTATCAATCATCAGAAAGAGAGAATTCATGTATATGCTGGATATTGGACATTTGCATGAATTAGATTATCTAAACCATTTTTTTATTTTGTGAAAACGCTCATATCTGAACCAATATTTATTTTCAAATCGGCATTTTAGTGTACCCAAATTATAACTAACATCAATCTGAAGGTGGCACTTATTTAGAATTTTCCAAAATAGCTAAAAATGATTTTAACTGCATTAAGTTCTTTAGGGTAGAGTCATCTAAAACATTAAGGGCATCCGATATTCACTGTAATATATTATTTAAGTTACTGGAGTCGATTACAATTTATATACTCAAGTCTCATGGTACCAGTTTTAACCTACAATATATGCATACAAATGTCACTATCACTCATTCATGACAAAATGCAAATGAAACTATATTTTGTATTTAAATTGATATAAATTGATTTATTTCATACAGTACTACAGTTTTCAAATTACCATAAAATAAAATTTGGTACCAGATATTTTACTTAAAAACTGGGTAATAGAATTTCTATTACATGATTACGCAATATAAACATTGATTATATAATCTACTAGGTTTTGACTTTAGTGTGACAAAATTTCCCAGGAGCATGCTTTCAAAAACTATACTTTATCACCATCATCTTCAAACCCTCAATTCTCTTTTACAATGTTACTATGGCGATGTTATAAAACTTAATTTGACAAATTGTAATTAATGATTTTTTTAGAAACAGTCCCAAGTCATCATATGACATCATATGACACGGAACATTTTAAATAATATAATCCTGTGATTCATTCTCCTCATGTCTCATTATTATCTGTAGTAGTATTAGTAATATTTTTCAATGCAGAGCACACAATCACTGAATACATTGATAAATCTGAATAATGAGTTTCCAAGATTCATCAACCGTCACACTACTGCACTGAAGCTATCCTCCCATTCATGCATGACATCACAGGTATTCATGACATCATCATTATTTATGACATCATAATACAAAGCTGTCACATCACCGCTGTCTCTGTGGCATCCACTTATAGATGGCAGCACTCTCTTTTGTTTCATCTGCGACTTTCTTTTTTCTCGACTGTTTACCCTGAAAGTAACATAGAGATTTGATTCTGCAATGTGCTTTCAATAAGGACGTGTCTAATATGGTTTCATATGATCTCTCTATCAAGAAACTGTGAAATATAGTGTATGTACTGCAGAAATTAATTGTGTATCAATATCAATTTTATTAATCAATTATGGATCATCACGGATTTGAGATACGATGAGGTGCGAAATCTCCATTCTATATTCCCATACATGTAAATGTATTCATTGTGTAACATAAATGATATGTTTGAGTTTAAAATATCAATAAAAATTGTTGGAATTAAATTAAATTAGTCCATTCTCAACCTTATTCAAAACTTCTGCAATTCTAGTGCCATTGTAAAAAGTGTTATGTAGTACATTAAAACCTGTGTATAGTGAACACCTATGAAGCCACAAAAATGTGTTCAGCATAGGTAGGTGTTCACTACAGTGAGGTAATCTTATAAAGATGGTTGCGAAGTGTGCTGAAAAGATGTGTTCCCTGTACTACTATGTATCATATGTGTAGCGTACAAGGTTGAAAACATTGGCCACTTACTGTCAGGTGCCGTTTCATTTCCATTTTCTGTGCAATAATGCTAAGTTGTTTCTCTCTTTCTATCCTCCTCGTCAACTCAGTGTACTGTTTTCTTCTATCAGACTTGATTTTCTACAAATACGAAGATAATTCCATAAAAGTACAATAATGAACAATAATAGAGACAGGAGTCTGACGTTGTTGATGAATCCGATGTAAATGCCCTATCAAAAATGTATATAGTTAATTCAATGTAAAAATTGTAATTGCACCGTACACATTGTTAGTATACTGTTCATATTGTAAGTGCCCCATAGATATTGCAGATGCCTTGTACATTTTTTAAATTCCTTGTACATATTGTAAACGCATGTAAATGCCCTGTACATAAAGAAATTACCCTGTAGATATTGTAAATACACTGTACACATTGTAAATGTTCTGCATATAAACTGTAATTCCATGTAAAAACGCCTTTTGCATATTTTCAACAAGGCATTAAACATGCAAAATATCACCACCTGCCATTTGGTACAGACACTGAGTGTCAAACACAAACCGCCAACAAAACACCAACTGCAGAACACTGTCAACAAAAAGTTTGAGCCTATAACAATATGTCACCACTTCTACTGGTGACATAAAAACCCGTAAAAATTGTAAATGCAAGGTGCGTATAATCATACTTAAACAGGCCTGCAGTTAAAGCAGATGAAAATATGAAACAACTTACTTCTATAGTCTCCTCATCAAGCTCTCCCTTTATTGTCTGACCCCTCAGTGTTTCCATCCTTGGCCTGTTAAATGTATGCTCTAACAGATCGGGATGGGTGTCTAAGTATTTTGCTGGATCAAAGTTCTTTGCTGGAAAATAAATATGTTTAATCTTATGTCCGTGTCAATTGAATACATTCATGTTATAAGCAGTTCCATATCTGGTTCTGATGTCTTTGACATTGATATATCTTTGACAATGTGTCATACTATAGTGTAACAAGACATCACAATGTTGACAGTGTGTCATTGTTCTGACAAGAAATTACCCCTTATATATGTCACACTTTTGACCAGCTATCATATTTATCACATTTTAACTAAGATGTATTGTAAAGTTGGGATCTAATACTTTTACTTACATACTAACCTCTGCATTAAAAGGTGTCTACTTTTTATTAATAAAGAAATAATTATGACACTAAACTTATATATAATTACCTTCTTTTTTAGTATCTACAAAAACTATGTGTGTATTTTTGGGTTTGTCCTCAGCATCCAACAAGTGTAAACTTGATTTCAACTTCTCAATTTTCTGAAAAATATAAAAATGTATGTACAACAAAACCTGCCTAGTCTAAATGCCAAGTGTTCTGATTACCAGGCATTCCCGACATAAAATATAACATGGTAATCAATGGATGAACATGCCATTAACATGCAAAATTTCACTACCTGCCATTTGTTGGACATTGAACGCCAACCACCAACCAGTAAATGCCAACTGCCAAACACCATAAAAAAAGTTAAGGGCTATTACAATGTTCACATCAATATACATTTGAATACACAGGTTTTACTTGATATTTGAAATGTACATGTCACATTTCTGAATCCAAATTCACCAGAGAAGAAATCATATGCGTGCAACTTTACCTATTTTGAAGGTTACACCAATTTTTTTCAAACTGTAATTTTCACAAAAAGGAAGGTGTGCAAGTTTTTTTGTCATTTGGTGCACTTCAGGATCAGAATTCAAGACTAAGCCCCTTTAATTACATACAAAGAAATGAAGGCCTGTTTCATTGAAAAACATGAGAAATATCTTGTATTACATGGTTCCTTTTAACAGCCTTTTCATTAACTCAATGCACTCAATATCAGCACTCGATTGCTTTGTATATTCTCATACATGTCATACATATATTATTTCAACTCATTGATAAAAACTAAATTACACCAAGTTGGTTATCACTATACACATTACATAATATGAGGAAAATTAGTCACCGAATTACCTCAGATCACTGATTTTCTCATTTATTAAACTTAACACAAGAAGTACAAATGCTACCACCTGCCATTTGTTACAGAAGCTGAACGCTGACCGCCAAACACTGATTGGTCCACAAAAAAATGATGGAGACTATAGCTATTATATAACAACAATATGTCACCACTTTTGGTGGTGACGTGATAATTACTCATAAAACTACATCAAATCACTCATTTTCTCAACTATGAAACAAAAAAGTAAACATCAATTGCAAAAAGTAAACAATCACATTGATTGGTGCATCCTGACATTACAGTTATGTGATTTATTGATGGTAATCATATTTTATCACGGGAGAAACAACCCCAAATATAATCACAATATCAGGAGACAAAGCTTCCAATAAAGATCTATCGAGGGACAAAAAGTCCTTCGTATCACACAAACTATTTGAATATCAAATACAAAGCACACTTATAACCTGTCACTTGATTCATAATTCCACATAAAAAATAGTCCACAGTAACACTTTAAAATGAATATTCCTGGACTATTCCCGAGAGTTTCATGAAGAAAACAATGGCACGAGAAACACCTCGAATGATTAATGACAAAACAGGGATTTGAGATGATTCTGAGACATCTTGAACATTACAAAACTACGCTGATTTATCGCTGAAAAACAATTATAAGAAATATTAAAGATCGTAAAACCTCCCCGAGTCTGTGCCTAGGGAGTATCTAAAATGAGGATTTCGGGTTTAATGGTCGGGTAAGGTAATGGAGCAGAGACTATAAATGAGTGAATATTATCGTCAGTGGATCAGTAAAATAAACCGACGGCCTCACTAATATGCAAATTAGGTGCTACAAAATAGCCCTTTATTGACACTAATTTAAAATAAAATGGCCGCTATGCTTTGGCTTGAGGTGGGAAATGGCCCGGAGGTAGTCGGGGGAAATTGCATTGAAAGCATTTAGGCCACACATAAAATCTGTTAATTGCTCCTAGCCAATTGTTTTAGCCAATTTCATTATAAAGATATTTAATTGGGGCATTTATGTTCAAGAGGTTAGCCAATAGAGTTGTATATTAATTATACTCTCTCTCACTAATACAGCTGGGATTAGAGGAGGTGTAAAAAATGAAATATTGAAAAGCACTCTCAGTATATCTCAGTCCAACACATTGTGAAAAATAAGAAATCTGTTCAGGAAATAAATTGGCTGTACTGATTTACTGTTAATCTACAATACTTGAGATGGAAATATGAACCAGAATGGATGGAGAATATATTCCCTTTAAAGGGTTCCGATTAGCATCCCGTACAAAAACAATATGGCGGCTCCAGGCGAATCAACTGGATCAGTCCATTTTTAAGAAATAAGGGGAGTTCTGTAAAATCCAGTTTATTGAAATTGTCTTTGAGATAAAGTAATCCGTTTATAATGATTTTGAAAACGTTATCCAAAGAGTGATTGCGTTCAAAGAATACATGTACAACAGCCAATATAAATCCTTGTATTAGAACTGCTTTGTTTCATTTGTAGGATTTTCATATGCCAAGCTGTGTGCTATTACGTTATGGGGAAAAGATGCCAATTTTTATTATTATACACAAATAGAAGATCCTGAAATTTCACCCATAAATGTGGAATTGATTTGTCAAAATAAAAGTCACCCTTTTATAAATGTGTGACGATCTATAATATACTTATGCTATATAACAGTTAGAGGTGTTGACACAACGACCTCGAACCTGTGAACCCTTGAGTATTATTCCGGGATCGGGCCTTTTATACTAAACGGTGAGCAACACCAGAAACGAGCGTTCGATTTGCTAAACGATATGCGTCACCCTTTAAAACAAAGCGAAATCTATCCCCTATTCTATATTGCAAAATTACACATTTATTTATAACATAACATAACCTGTACAGTGTCTTCGCAGTTTGGGTAAGCATTTTGCAACATTCTCCATCTATGTACACGCAAACAAATATGAAACAGTAGTTGATACGCATCGGGGGTTCTAAGGGTTCAGGCGAACCCCTCCCTGGCCAAAATTTTTGGTTGCAGTTTTTTACCATTTTGAGCACTTTTTAAGTGATTTTAGCCATATTTGGGCCAAAATTGTCAAATGTGAACCCCCCAGGAAATTTTTGAAAACTGAACCCCCCTGGGCAAATCCTGGCTACGGGCCTGCGCATCTCAGGGGGTTTGATTGGCCAAAAATTCTTTCAAAATCATGCAGTATATTTCACCATTCTGAGCACTTTTCAAATAATTTTTGGGCTAAAGTTGTCAAATGTGAACTCCCCTGATTTTTTTTGAAAACTGACCCTCCCTAGGAAAAAATGACAACAGGCCTGCTGTCTTAATATTTTTTTTTATTTTTTATTTTTTTTTTTATTTATTTATTGGAATCACTTTTAAAACAGTGGCACACACATTGAAAATGTGGTGCATCCACATACAAACATGCATACAATTACAGTCAAAATTAAAATACATAATGTCACTAAAATACATCAATCCTTATTATAGGGAATATAAATTGCTTTCAGATATTTCTTTACACATTGATCTAAAATATGACCTTGTTCATTTCCCCAGTCAATGAAAGCTTTATCACCCATGGTCAAGCATATTTTAATTGGAATATTAGCAGAAATAAGGCTAGATGACAGTTGTTCATTACAGGAGTTTATCACGTTCAGAAAGAAGTTAGTTCTTTCATTGTTAAAATGAGGACATACAAACATACGATGCTGGATAGAGTCCTTGACATTCGTATCACATAAATTGCATAACCCATTACCTTGGCCCCACCGCTCCTTGTCAGTATTCAGACCAAAACACCCTGATCTTGCCTTGAATTTCAGTTTCTGACCATAAAAGTCAAAATCAGTCTTAAGGTAGTTTTCTTGAAAACAATTTGTTTTTAAGGAGCTGTACAGAACAAGAGAGGATTTGTCTGCAATGGTGTCTAGAAAACTGCTTTTGCTTCTTTCATTCGATATTTTAAGATATCCCTGATACCAGTCCGTGTCATCAACATGAATGGCTCTGTCTAACCCATGTTTGATCAAAATGTTATTGATATTTGAAAAATAAGGCCATGAACATTTGTCATTATGTGAAATGGAAAACTTCTCATACATTGTGTTAAAAATACGTTGATGTAGAGAACCTGGCTTTAACCTACTTTTCAGATAGATAAAATAGTCAATTTGACGTTTTTCAATAACTTCGGTTATGTTTCTCCAACCTAAGTCACCTAGAATAGCTTCCCTAGCAGGACGGCAGGTCAATTGTAGTACAGATCTTGCCATATTATATTGCATGGATTTGAACTTATCTTGCATAGAGGCATTAAGTAAAAATATAGGGCAGCCATTTAATAAAGCAGGTAAATACATTGAATTATACATTGTGGTATATAAACATTGGGAAAGAGCAGTTGATATATATCTTTTCTCACCTTCATTTCAATCTGGCGTTTGTGATTGACATATTTCAGATCTTGACTCTGCATCATCTTCAGTTGGTCATCAGTATATACAGGAGTAGTGTCTTCTGCCTCATGGACACCATCCTGCAATCACGAAATAAAATAGGTAATTTTTTGGACTGCAATAAAAGATGGCCGAAGATCATCCTAACCCCTGTCACCCTATCACTACCCTCACCTTAAACATAACTCTAACCCTAACCTGGTACCATCATAATTTCACTAGGCAATCTTCGGTTGTGGAGCATTGATGCTCTCTCAAAATAAAACATGTTTAAACTTTATGGATACCAATCAGGAATCACAAAATAAAATTAGACAGCAACAAATTGACTCATCACATGGTTGCAATTAGAAAAAGAATATTTAAAAATTTTCAGAAGTTGAACGCCCGCACTGACTATGACACCAACACATGGGAAAAAAATGCTGGATATCACAATATGTCGCCACTTTCTGGTGCTGACATAATAATTTGTTTATATTTTATGAACAGCATTCAGAAATCGTAACAACAAAAAATTCTATACTTTATGGCACTATTATTCATATTGTATGGATGCCAGCATGATATCACAAAATAAAAAAACGAATGTTGGATTCACAAAACACAATTGGTCATTTATAATTTATGAACACCATCTTGGATTCACAAAATAAAATATGATTAGTAAGATATTACATTTTTTCTGAGACAAACAGTTATTTATGGTTTTGTTTTCCAAAACTTACTATACGACTTTTTTAAATTTTTTATTTCAGGTTGAGCAGCATTACAATGACAATATAAAATGTAAATACAAAGACAATTTTACAAGGTATGTGCCAATGCTAAAGAGGTTCCAGATATTTGTGCCAAGAGCATCATACAAAATATCAAATATAATGTTCTAGAAAACATAATCAAATAAACAATGGGATAAAAACATGAAGCATTATTCTGTGAATATTTTTTATTGAAATAAATAATTATTGTAAAAATTCATAAAATCTCAACATCACATATGTTCTTTACTAGATAGTACATGTATATTTGGAAATATAACTGTTGAGTAACATAACTTGTAAACAATTGATCACATCTACCAATGATAGAGTGATAGATTCAGAAATAGAGTATTTACACATTTTTACTATCTTTTGTTGTACATTTTTAATGGATATAATAATCTAGGAAACAATATTAAATGTGGATTTGTGTTGATTTATTGATTGACCAACTCATTTTGACCTTATCATTATGACCATGCAAAGAAACAGAGTTTAATTATTTAAGTTTTATCAGCCACTGCCCCAGAGAAATAAATATTGAATGTTGAACTAAAGTTTTTTCATTCTATTGAAGTTTTATTCAAGATAACAAGGCATAAACATGTGCATTGTCACCACCTGCCATTTTGTTACAAACACAGACTGCCGAACACCAATCACCAAACAGCAACTGCTGCATACTGTCCACAATTAGTTGGAAATCATAACAATATGTCAACATTTGTGATTGTGACATAATAAAAATATGTCACCACCAAAAGAAAACCTGTATGGTAAGAACACCTCTTATTAAAACACCTTATAAGGTATGGATCTCCCCTATAAGATAAAACACGAAACATAGCGACCCTGGAAAAACTATAAATCGATACCTTGCAACCAAACCCAACAATTGAGACAAAACAAACGGGGATACAGTACAATGTTATACAACTCATTGACATTGATATCAGATCATAAAATTACACAAAATGTATCTCTACATGGACTTTTAACTGAAACAAATAATGATGAAGAACATAACGAGTGCCAGGTTCCCCACATAGAATCGATACATGAGATAACAAAGCAGTGTAAGAGCTGAGCTACTATTGCAAATAAAATTCTGGGACTTCAAAGCGCCGTATTATTTGAGTAGAAATCAGAGTCAGAAGGAGTATTATACTAAGTGTTATGTAAACAGTAAAGAATGATTCCCCAAGTTCACTAACTCAGTCTGTCAATAAAATCCAAAAGTACATCGAATATAGAGTTACAATAAACTTCGTAATCTCACAATTTAAATATTATTAGAAAGAACTATTTAACATATCATTCAAAATATTATTAATTAGGCTTTCCAATAATTTGATTTGCTGCTTAAAAGAGAGCTTCATCTCCAATAATGCACTAGACTCTGATTCTCAGGGTATTATTCAATAGGCTAAATAAAAGAGACTTTATACTATTAATGGCTAGTAGAAATGCATGTTTTAATGGCCTTAATTAATTGCATCATCTAATTAATTTCCTTTTGTTTTAGATCACCTTCTAATTCCAGTTCAAGATACAGTAAGCACTGCATCTTAAGTATACCAAGATGCAAGGTAAGACTCTCATATTCCAATTTGTAAGGAAGAAAAAAATAAACTCAACTGATATACAGATGTAAATTCTAAAACTATCTTAAAATATATAAATGAGATTTCAGCCATTTTTTAGTAATTTGTACAAGAGTGACACAAAAAATCAGTTAAAATCATAAAATTGCATCAATAAAAACATTTTCTGTACAAAAACAAATATATTTCTTATGTTCTACTCAACGGTCTCAGTCATTGGTGCTGTCAAGGTCTACAATCTTGGATACCTCAAATGTAGTATAAACAGTTAAATCTGTCTGAGTGAACACCTTATGTGAACACTTGTGACTAGTGAAAACACTGCGCTTCATAGCATATACTCCACTAACTTCTGTATTAATGCTTCTCTGTAGTGAACACCTACTTACAGTGAACACTGGTAGCTTCATGGCTGTTCACTGTACACAGGTCTTACTGTATCGAGTTTTATACAATAGCCAATAAGTACAATAAGGTTTAAATCTAAAACCTGCAAACAATAAAAGTATGACATAAAATCTATAAACACTTTGAATTTGATATCAAACATTATGAACATTTTGAATTTGAAATCAAACATAATTATGAACACTTTGAATTTGATATCAAACATTATGAACATTTTGAATTTGATATCAAACATATTTATGAACACTTTGAAGTTGATATCAAATATTATGAACATTTTGAATTTGATATCAAACGTTTTATGTATAGGAAATGAAGGTCATTACAAATTATAACGTAACAGGAACCGAGATATTCTGTACAAACAAAAAGCATATATCTTTCATGCTATATTTGTAATATCATTTGATTGATCATATGGTATAATCATTGCGGCCAATATATCTTGTTCTATGGATTTTAGATTACATGAAGCACAATTCACCAATCATCTGTTAATGGCGATTTCAAAATTGCAAAATTGCTTCGAAAATTGATTTGTTTGAATTATTTGTGACTGAGGTATGCTTGGACTTTAATTAAAACTGTGGTCTACCCTTTCATATCAATCACAAATACCAACATTTCCCTCAAAATACACTTCAACCACAGACTCTTCAATCAAAACCCAAACACTTTAAACAGCCTTAACTTTAAGTATGTTAAAATGTTAACAGTTTTGACCACTCAATCAAATTCTATTGCAATAAGACAAAAAATCGGTGACATCGTCTGCGAGGATTTCTGATTTTTATTGAGGACTAAGACAAGAATGATGGGATGATTTGTGTAGACTGATCACACATGTCAGACCCCGCCATCAAAATGAAATAAATCACAAGCAGTTTAATTAAATGACTTGCCACTTTTGGTGGCTTAATCTTCTATAACTGACATTCTCAGTTCTCTCACACTTCTCCGGAAAATGTCACATGGGCACGCTGGCTCGATAAATTTCAACAACAACCAGATTTCCTGATTACCCATTTCAAGGAGTCAAGATAAACATGTTGATTTCATGTGTATCTCTATATAAAAATCCCATCATGAAATTTCTCAATTTGTTCATTTTTTAAAATTTGGATTCAACAACTGCAATATTTTCAACACAGGTTACCATGGTTGGGAAAGTTCCATCTGTAGGTTACTAATTCAAAGGTTCCAGCATTTGTTGTTCTTTTTATGAAGAAAAATAAAATTGTTCAACCGTCCATATGAAAATAAACATGACAACAAATGTATGACTCAACAAATATTCTTTTGATGATGAAAAATAAAATTGTTCAACTGGCCACATATTATATGAAAATAAACATGACAACAATCATATATCTCAATACATATTTCAAATTGGAAGTATGGAAGGCCAGAAAATGGTCTTGTTGTCCAGCCACTGGGCTGCTGGCAAATATCAAAAATTAGACTAGCCCCGATACCTTTTTAAGAGGTATGTTAATGCAGGAATAGAGGTATAGAAGCTAAGTTCTATGGCTATCCGATGGTTTCTAAAAGACAAATGAACTAACAGTTTGAAAGATCTGGCTGACTAACCAATGTAAACGTTTTTCATTGCCTTATAAGGTCAAGCAATGTGATATTTTGACATATTGGCGGCATTGACCATAATAGTGATGGAACAATGTGATATTGATCATCGTGGCAACACTAGTAATAATAGTCATATCTTTCACCCTGGCAACATTGGTAATAATAGTCATATCAGTCACCCTGGCAACATTGGTAATAATGATTATATTGGTCATTGTGGCAACATTGGTAACAATGATGATATTCAATTTGGTAATTCTGGCAATATTGGCCACAATGGTAACATAGGTTATAAAGGCAATATTGGTTACAATGGTGATATTGGTCCCTTGGGTTTCAACTGAATATATGTATATCAATAACCATACCATATTGTATTTTCACCACCAAAATTTCAGCCACTTGACTCAATAACCCAGATGTGAGTAGATAGTTACTAGTTTCACCACCAGGTGGCTAATTCGTAGCATACAACATGGCAGACTTATTTCAAAGATCCCTTAAACTTGAATATTCATCAGTTCTAGTTGATCAATTTTCATATTTCTTTTATGTATCTGATAGTATATACAAATGGAAATATATCCAATAAAACAAAACATTATCTGTCCACTGAAGAAAATATATTTCACTTTTTATGATTTCATAACATGGAGTCCATGGGGAATCTCCTCGACCTCGAAGTCACATTTTCAAAGTTGATAAACAATTTTTGAA